TTCCTCTGTCAGGGCTGTTCACACCAAAATCTTACGGTGTAAATGTAAATTACTATTTCCTTACGAGTCATGGCAAACAAGAAGAGGAATAAATCATACTGTAAGTCTACGTCTACACTGCAGGCTTTTTGCACAAGAACTGTTTTGCAGAAGAGTTCTTGTGCAAAAACTCTTCCACAAGAGTGCGTTCATACTGCCATGTACTTTTGCGCAATAGATGTGCTTTTGCTCAAGAGCAGCCATGGCAGTGTGGATGCGCTCTTCCACAAGAAAGCTCTGATGGCCCTTTTAACCAAAGGGGCTTCTTGTGGAAGAAATTCATGTTGCCTGTCTACACTGGCCTCTTCTGGAAGAGCTCTTGCACAGAGGGCTTATTCCTTGTGGGGAGAGGAATAACTCTTCCAGAAGAAGCCCTGTATTCCAGTGCTATACTGTAAATTTACTTGAGTAAGAACACACATGCAGTGTAGACAGCCGGCTTGTTTTTGTGCAAGAAGAGCTGTTCTTGCGCAAGAAGTGTGCAATGTAGACACAGTCTAAGATTCACACAATCCACTGTTTGGCATCACATGTGGATGGAGTTTGGGTTGGAGACAGTGCTTGAGAAAGTACCACTACATAGTAATTTCCAGTCTTAGCTGTGGATACATATGTCTAGAAAGTCTGACACTGAAGTTGCTTTACAAAATATGGGGGTCAGCTAAGGCACACTCAGACGATATAGGTGTTGTGTTCTCTTGTTATCCCCATTTGTTTTTTCTGTCTGAGGTAGATCTTTCAGGGCAGGAACCTCATTTTTATGTGCTCCTAAAGTACTTGATGCGTATACCATAATTAACAAATAATTGGCTAAGCTCCTCAGGCCACACTCTCAACTGGATGGCAATTCTCCATCTATAATAACTTTTGAATGCCATTTTTGATCAATTCCAAAATTGCAGAGAAAGTTATTGGCATTGGTGGCCAGAACCCTATTAATTTTTGGAAAAACTAAAGGGAGAAAATGGGGGACACATGGATCCCCTGCCATTCTGGTAGCACAGCCACAGCTTCCCGCACCTCTCCAATTGTCTGTAATCAAACAACTTCTTGATAGCACCCATTATGGCTTTGCAGTATGACTAGGGTTGCCAGGTGTCCAGTTTTGAACTGGACAGTCCAGCATTTGAGCTTTCTGTTCGGAAAACAAATTGAGAAAATAGAAATGAGAAAATAGAACTGTCCCGTATTTTCTAAATAAGATGTAATGTAGATTGTGATGTAAGGTCAAATGTGTCCGGTATTTTTATTGAAACCGTCTGGCAACCCTAAGTATCACACCACCACCATCTTATCTCTGCCACCAGTCCTTCCAAATGAGGTTAGCATGTTGACAGCCTGCATGACTAATCTCCCAGACAAATAATAAGGGGGAAAGGAAGGGAGTCATGCACATAGGCTCTTGGTTGGGGGGAGATTACAGAAACTTGATCTGAGGCTGGAGAGAGAATGGTGGTACACAGAATCCATGGTGGAGGAAGGAGATTGAGAGACTATGGAATGGTGGGAGAGGAGTATTTGGAAACCACACCAGGGCCAGACTGAGATGTGAGCACCCCGGGCAGGCTAATAATTTGGCGCCCCTTCAAACAGATACACAGGGTGTTAGTGGGGGCAAGGGACAGGGTTCTAGGGTGTGGGGAGGGGACAGGGTTCTGCAGCAGGGGACAGGGAGCCAGTGGAGGAGAGGGGACAGGGTTCTGCAACAGGGGACAAGGTACCAGTGGAAGCAGAGAGTCCCCTGCACCTGCCTCCTCCCAGGACTTTTCCTCATTTCCCCCCATGGAGCAGGGAAGACCCAGTGGGTGCCTCCTCTGGGGCCAACTCCCCCATCCCGCAGAGAAGGGTGCACCTAGGCTGAACAACATGGCCAGCTGGCCAATGGGGAAAAGAGGAAGGGCTTCCGGATCAGCTGGAGTGTGGCTCAGCCTCCCAGGGCTGAGCACAGGGCATCTGGGCTGAAGCAAAGAGGAGCAGCTGCCTGGCCAGCTGACTGTGGCTTTCAGCCCAGGTGAACCACGCTCCACATGGGCTGGAGCAGAGGGGAAGCTGCCTGGTCAGCTGGCTGCGGTGTTCAGCAGAGGCTGTGCCGCACGTCAGCCATCGGGGGGGCGGGCTTTCCCTCTGCTTCAGCCCACGTGGGGGGGGGGGCATCTGGG